AAGTCAGACTAGGAGTCATGCTGGCCACCACCAGGGGCCCCAAGACATCCCATGTGTCATGACTTCACCACAGTGAGGTTTTGATTCTCAGCCATATATGTTTAGAACTTCAGTCTGTCTGCCTTACCTGTATGACAGCTTACACCTCTAATTCTAGCACATGGGAAATTGAAGCAGGAAGATTGCTATATACATTTGAGACCAGCCTGGGATTACAGAACAGGCTCTGTTTCAAAAGAAAAACAAACAAATAAACAAACAGAACAAAATCCAATCTGGAACATATAGGCTATGAATTTGTTTCCTGAAGCTGATTCAAAATCCCAGAGGCTGGTGTTTAAAGTCACAAGAGCAGTTTATTCTTAAAATTATGATTAGATACAGAAAGAGACACAAAGGCTGGGGACCAATGCACTCCTGTCACCAGTTCAGCACTAGGAAACCTTTGCAGAGCTGGGAGTCAGAAGCAAGGGAGTCCCTCCCACTTTGTTTCTAGCAAGTCTGTTTGAAGTTATGGATATTGCAAATCATGACAGGATCAGGCTCATTGGCCCCAAGGCATCAATTTACCTGCCTTAAGAACTGAACAGGTGAAGGTAATCTCTTTCTTGCCAGCCCTTGGATAAACACCCCCAATTTTCACTCTGAGATCCTCTCTGTTCCAAAGCCTCCAGGGCTCACTAGTTCTGGTCCTGAATGCTGTGTTCTTTCTTGTATTGAGGTCAAGTATTATCCCACATCACACAGCACCTTGCAGACCATGGGGCCATGCTTCTCTTTTACTAAATGAAACTTTGAATACTATACTAACTTTCAGTTTTCTGATCTTGAAAGGGCAAATTAATTCCAAGTTCATGAGGCTTCAAATCCTGACAGCAGCCTGAGACGGGGCTGGCTGGTGGACGTTAGCTCCTCTTTCATTTCTGAAGGTTTTGCTGAGTGGGCTCTCAAGCTTCAGAAACACACTGTCGCCATCAGAATTTTGCCTGTCTCCTGAAAACCAAAGGATAACAAACACTGTTTCTGTAGCTACCGAAGAGACAGACTGCTTGGAGAAAGATTTACATGGCTCTGCAGACTCCCTGGCTGTGCCAACTCTGGGGGAGTCGCTGCACACAGCAAGAGTCGGCTCCGGCTCTTGGCTCTGGGCCACAGTTCCCACAGCTACAGCAACATTGGCAGCTCCTGCTCTCACGCAGAGTCGAGCATGCTGGGAGTCTCCTGCTGACAACCTCTGAAAGACAAGGCTCTAAGTCCTACCAGCTAATGCAGCCAGGACTTAAAGGCAAATGGCTGCGGCCGGATCCCTGGAATCAGGTCCTGTCAGAGCCTACCACAGGAAAGGTTGAACCCTGTCTGTGTATGTTATATAACACTTTGCACAGGAGGGATAGTATAGAGAAACTATAGACCTATGTCTATAAAAAAAAGCATGCTGAGGAAGCCATGAACAACCTCTCACCTCTCCTGAGCTCTCAGAGTTCAGGGAAGAAAATGTAGGTTCTGAGGAGCAGATTTGCTTTTAATTTTATTTTTTTATTCTTTACAATTTCATATATATATATATATATATATATATATATATATATGTAATTAATGAATTTTGATCAATTTCATATTTTATTAACCAGTGTTTTAAAAATATTTTTATTTATGTAACTAATCTTATTTGTTTACTTAATTTTGAAACAGGGCCTTACTATGTAGTCCTGAATTCCCTGAAACCTTTGTAGACCAGGCTGACCTTGTCTTAGGGTTTATACTGCTATGATGAAACACTATGGCCAAAAGAAACATGTCATAGTCCATCATGGAAGGCTGAAGTCAGGGCAGGAATTCAGGGCAGAAACCTGGAGGCAAGAACCTGGAAGCAGGAACTGAAGCAGAAGCCATGGAGGAGTGTTGCTTACCGGTTTGTTCCTTCATGGCTTGCTCAGCCTGCTTTTTTATAGACTTAGGACTACCAGCCTAAGAATGGCACCACTCACAGTGAGCTAGGCCCTCCCACCTCAATCATCAATCAAGAACATTTACCATAGGTCAATCTGTAGAGTCATTTTCTCAATTAAGATCCCTTCTTCCTGAAAGAACCTAGCTTGTGTCAAGTTGACATAAAACTAGGCAGCACAGTCCTAAAACACAGAATTTATCCCCTCCCACTGGAGTGCTGGGATTAAAGAAGTGCACCATGATACCTGGCTTTCCTTTCTTTTTCTTACGTGTGTGTGTGTGTGTGTGTGTGTGTGTGTGTGTGTGTGTGTTTGTGTGTGTGTGCTCTTACTTGTGGGTATGTGCACACAAATGCAGGTCTCCTCAGAAGGCAGCAGAGGATGTTTGAGCCTCTGGAGCTACAGGTAGTTGTCAGTCAGCTGCCTGATGTGGGTGCTGGGAACCAAACTCTGGAACCAAACTCACTGTGTAATCTTGGATGGCCCAGAACTCACTATGCAGACCAGATTGGCCTCGAACTCAAAGAAATGTCTGCCTCTGCCTTTGCCTCCCAAATTCTGGTATTACAAACATGTAACACCATGGTGGACAGTGGTTTTCTTTTATTTCTCTCATTCCTTCCCTCCTAATTTCAAGTTGTTGGAGGGTGGAGAAGGGAGAGAGGCTCAGTTTAGGTAGAGTTGCTCACAGGAGCATGGGTTGGGGGTTATTTACCAGAATCTGGGCAGTTTACCAGTAATTACACCACTGAATAAAATGACTTCCTTCTCTAGCAGCCATTACTGCCAATAGTCCCTCAGGGAGGGATAGGGCCTTATGAGCCCTGGGGCAAGTTTTTTCCCTACACTTCTGGGCTCCCACACAGAGAAGTACAGTGAGAACCAAAGCCTTGCTGTGGTTGTTCTGTTTTGCTCTTCTTTTGTTTTGTTGAGGCATGGCCTCACTATACAGCCCATGGGGGGGCCTCCAACCCAGTCCTTCTGCTTCAGTCCATGGAACACTGAATATATTTGGTGATCCACAGCCTCGTCTTGAAGAGATCTCTTGGTTTTGCTGGGAGAAGCATTCAGACTGCCCTGTTTGCTGAAGCCCAAGCAGGGTTCTAGACTGCCAAGTTCACTTATTCAACATAGGTAGATTTATTACCATTTCCTGCCTCAGTCCAACATTCACACACTGAAATGCATGACGTTCCCAGCAGTGCTTGAGGGTTAACTAAATGGGAAGGCTTGGCCCCTTGGTGATCCTTCCAATGGGTCTGGGTGTTTTTGAGCATTCCCTACGCTGTACTCCCTTTCGTCTTAATGGGCCCTACCCATTGAGGTGGATTCCAGATCGCTCTTCTATATCTTTGGCTTGGCTCAGGCCTCTGACCCCTCCACAGCTTCGTCTCAAAGCAGGGAGATGGCCAAAATAGGCAGTCAGAGAAGAACACAGGCATTCATTCCTATCGCATCTGCTCAGCCTCTCAGCCGCCCTGTCAGGGAGCCTCTCAGAATCACAGGCTGGGCCAGAGAGTCCTGCCCTCTTCATTCACAGTGTGAGAACACAGTGAGATACAGAGCAAGGTCCTTCAGAGGCTGTGTGCTGACTGCTGAAAAGCCAGAGAGATACCGCTGCGGATGTGGTGTTCTGCACAGGTTCCTTTCCCTGGGTCAGTCTGAACTAGGCACTGAGGACTACGCTCCCCACAAGATTCTTCTCCCTTTCTCTGCTTGCACTGGTCGTCAGGAGGGTTGTTAATGATTTACTACATGAAACTTCTACTATCAGTTTTTTTCTTTTTGGGGGGAAGTAGAGTAGAGCGAGGCACACCTGCAGAGGTGGAGGTCAGAGGACAATCTACCAGAGTCTGTTCGTTCCTTCTCCCGTATCAGTCCCTGGGATCAAACTCAGGTCTCTAGGCTCTGCAGCATGCACCTTTATCTACCTCGAAGGTCCTGTCATCATTTTTTAAACTTTTTTTTCCAGTTGTTTTTCTAAACAGCAGAGCCTTGAGCATCCTGGAGTCATTTTGTAGACTATATTGGCCTCAGACTCACAGAGCTCTACCTGCTGCTGCTTCCTGAGTGCTGGGATTAAAGGCATTTGCCACCATGCCCAGTACGTTTTTTAACTCTTAAAGAACTGACATACAGGAGTGATACCCTTTAATAAAGGCAGGCAATCCAACAGACTTATTCCATTGAGGTTTGGTCAATCCATCGACTGACTGATTAAAAACCTCTTGCAGTTGAACACTGGCAGGACTGTATTCTGTTCTGCACAATTTGATATGAACTAGGGATGAAGAGACATAAAAAATGAATTCTTGATCCTAACTCTCAGAGGTTTTTTGTTTTTGTTTTTTTTTTTCCAGTACTGAGGATCTTACCCAGGACCTCACAATTGCAAGGCAAGTTTTCCACCACTGAGCTACACCTCATCCTTCAGAAGGCTATTGTCTAACTAAGACATAAGTCCCCACACAAATCAGTGCACTCTAGAGGGAAGACAGAGAGCCCATCAGTATGCATCGCTCTGCCTGGCAGAGGTGAAGCAATGCACTTTCCCTTACCAACCCACCAGGCAGATGCCTAGAGACTTCTGGGCTAGCCTGATTCTTCTTGGTGCCCAAGAAGCCAGCACCAAGATTAATACAAGCAAATGGAGCACTATAAAGTAAATTCTTCAAAAGTCCCTGTGTGTACCTAACAGGAGCTCAGTGTGCAAGCTCTTTCTTCTCACTTAGTAAACTGGGTTGACTGCCAATCATTTCCTTTTAATAGCTGGAGAAACTGAAGTTACATTGCTCTTTCCTGTTCCTCGGGGCAACTAATACAAGAACAAACAGGGTTCAGTACCAGGAATAAAGTTGACTCATACTTGCAGGCTCTCTCTCCTTTTAGAACACATTGACTGAAGACTTGGAATAGGGATGACATTCATTCTCACATGGAAATGAATGAAGTGGCCAAAAGCAAGAGGTTAGCGGAGAGCAGGAGGTGCAGAGCAGGCAGTAGCTCCTGCACTGTTCTCTGATTGATTTGGGTTTGGTTTTTGCATTTTTTTTTAACATAGAATGCTTCACAAATTTTTGTGTCATCCTCGTGCAGGAGTTGTGCTAATCTTCTCTGTATCACTCTAATTTTTTTTTACTATGTGTGCTGCCAAATCGAGTACTGGTTTTTACATTTTTGAGACAAGGTTTCATTATGCAACAAAGGTTGGCTCTGAACTCTTGATTCTCTTGTCTCTTCCCTCTGAATATCGGAACTACAGACATGCACCAGCGTTCTCAGCTGTACTTACTGCACTGTTTTAGGAAAGCTGGGCCACTTCCTCTTACAAGAAATGGTGGTCCTAAGAACCCTAGAGAAAAAGGTGGTCCTTTGAAGGCCTTGTTTTGGGCGGAAAGACAAGGCTGTGCAGAAATAATACCCCTAACATTCTAGGAGCAGAAAACATGTGCTGAGAACACAGGTAGCCTTTTCCTCTGTTATGTCTTTGCTATCTCTTCTATCACTCCTGGTTATCTCTTCATGGTCTACACTTACTATTTTGATACTCACACAGGCTTGTTTTTATATCAATTCTATACCACTTGAGGGTAGCAATAGTGATGTCCTAGCCTTACTGGCAACTAGCTCGGTGACCACTCTTGTTAGGGCATTAGGAAATGTTGTTTGATTTGATGTTATAGGAGAACTGAACTTCAAGGGTAAACAGCTGCAAGGTCTGGCAATCCATAGGTCTGGCCAAGAATTTCCACCAGGCAAACAACATTTGGCAATGACAGGGGCATTCCATTGAAGTAGAGGAGAGATGGGTTATGCAACAGTTCTGCAAATAAAATGGATTTTTCTGGCATGGCTCAGTTCTTTGAAAAGCAATGTAAGATGTCACCTTTACAGATATCACGTACTATGTATCTCTTCCAGGTTTAAATAGGAAAAAGCGCAGTTAGTTTTCTGATACATGACATTATGCTATATATTGTGCACATAGACTTCTTTTGGTTTTGCCTATGCTTTAAATCTCACTGATGGGCTGGAGAGATGGGCTCAGTTAGAGAGTCTTTCTGAAAAAGCATGAGGACTTGAGTTCAGATCTCCAAAAGCCTTGTAGAATCTGGACCTAGTCACAATTACCTGTAATCTACCACTAGGTGATGGAGGAAGAGATGGATAGATCCCCAGAGTTCAGTGGCCAGCTAGTGTAGACAATTAGTGAGCACCACCACATTCAGGGAGGCATGCCATCAAAAGGCAAGGTGGAGAATGATAGTAAAAGATACTCGCTGGGCGGTGGTGGCGCATGCCTTTAATCCCAGCACTTGGAAGGCAGAGGCAGGCGGATTTCTGAGTTCAAGGCCAGCCTGGTCTACAGAGTGAGTTCAAGGACAGCCAGAACTATACAGAGAAACCCTGTCTCAAAAAACAAAACAAAAAGAAAAGAAAAAGAAAAAGATACTCAGTGTTGCCGGGTAGTAGTGGTGCATGTCTTTAATCCCAGAACTCTGGAGGCGGAGTATGGTGGCTATTCTTGGTTGTCAACTTGACTACATCTGGAATGAACTACAATCTAGAAATGGAGGACACATCTGTGATCTAGATCTCGAGGAAGTTGGAACCAGGGACTGAGGTATTGCTGTGATAGGCCTGACCATGCTTTTGTTAGGAAGAATGTGGATTTTGGGACTTTGGATTTGGAAAGCCATGGAATGTTTTAAGTGGAGCTTATTGAGCTATTCTAGTAGGAATATGGAAGACTTTTTGCTGAGAGTGATTTGAACTGTGCAGATTTGGCCCAAGAGGTTTCAGTGGAGAAGAATTTCAGTATGTGGCATAGAGACTGTTTTTGTGGTATTTTGGTGAAGAATGTGGCTGCTTTTTGCCATTATCTAAAGAGTCTGCCTGAGGCTAAGGTGAAAATTGTAATTGCCTTGAAAAAGGGAGTCCCAAAACAGCCTGGTATAAATTCTGTTGTGTGGTTACTATAATTCATTCTTATGAAGGATGTTTTAATGAAAAGGAGCAAGCTGAGAAAGAAAAGAAATATAAAACGTATGATTCAAGTATTAAAAGGACACCAGGAAGTAGAAAAGAGCTGAATCCTGTGTTCAAGGAGATGAACAGACTAAGGGAGAGGTGACCTCAAGGCAGATCCCACAGTGCTGAGCTTATTGTTCACAAAGGCAAGAAGATTTATGAATTCAAGGCCAGCCTGGGACAGGGCAAGTTCTAGGTGAATAAAAACTTAGGTCTAGGTATGGTGGTATGCAGCTTTAATCCCAGCACTCAGGAGACAGAACCATGCAGATCTCTGAGTTCAAGGTCAATCTACAGAGCAAGTTCCAGGACAACTGAGTTTAGGCAGTGAGGGAGTTGGAAAACAGAAAGCTGATAATAGAATTGGGGGGGTGGGGAGGCATATTCCAGCTCCAGCAAGCAGCAGAACTCAGCAGCCTTGGCCATGTGGCTCTGTATCAAGAATAGAAGGGACTACTAGGATAACTGATGCTGGTTAGCTGGAGCTAAGGAATTAGCAGTGATTAAGAGGAGACCAGCATCACTGAGGTGACATCTTCTGGGAAGTATTTTCTGAGAGCACAAAGAAGCTGTGTTCCAGAGATAGCCAGGGTTGCACCTTGTGCTGCAGCTAGACTTGGTAATATGTAAGAATCACCCAGATAGTACTGATTTTGAAGGTATAAAGGGGTCATGGAGAGCAGCTGAGACTTGGCATTGTAAGGAGGCCAGGGAAGGCCATTGGTAAAAGTGCAGCCTCAATTGCAGTTGATGGCCCAATACTGAAGTGGTCATGCAAAGAAGTTGAGACTTGACACCATGAAGAGAGGCTATGAGAAGCTATTGGTGAAGCCTAGTTGCAGCAGAAGACCCAGTGTATTGGAGATCCCAGTACCACGTGATGACCACCAAGAACAGCCAGAGCAGTAGAGTGGAGTCAACCCAAGCCTAGACCATTACAGTGAACAGAGCTGGAGAAGTGATGAAAGCCCTTTGGAGATGCTCAAAAGATCATGTGTGGATCTGAGAAACTGGAGCAAGAAGCTGAAAAGTTGAAGTTGACTTGGAGACCCCAAGATAGTAAAGATGCCAGAGCCATGGGATACCTGCCGAGGAAAGCTGCTAACAGGGAGTGGAACCAGCCCAGGAGAAAAAAGTTTGTAGCAGTCAACAAAGATGAAAAAGGAGCTGGAGATCTGAAGACCTCTTTGACATCAGACATGGAGATGCAGAGTTTGAAGTTTGCCCAGCTGGTTTTCTGTCTTGCTTTGGGGATAACAGCTAAGTGATTGGACAAATCTCAGAAGAGACTTTGAACTTTGGAATTTTAACATTGTCAAAACTATTATAGACTATGGGGACTTTTGAAGTTGAAATAAATGTTTTAGCATTATGCTGTGTTTAGGTATGGCCCTCATAGATTCATGGGTTTAAACACAATGGGAGTCAGAGGGTGGAATGTGGTGGTTTGAATATGCTTGGCCCCATGAGTGGCACTATTAGGAGGTCTGGCGTTGTTGGAGCAGATGTGGCCTTGTTGGAAGAAGTATGTCACTGAGGGAGGGTGGGCTTGTATACCCTCCTCTTAGCTTCCTGGAAACAATCTGCTCCTGGCTTCCTTTGGATGAAGATGTAGAACTCTCAGCTCCTCCTGTGCCATGTCTGCCTGGATGTTGCAGTGTTTCCTGCCTTGATGATAATGGACCGAACCTCTGAACTTGAAAGCCAGTCTCAATGAAATGTTGTCCTTTGTAAGAGTTGCCTTGGTCATGGTATCTGTTCACAGCAATGAAACCCTAAGATACAGAGGTAGTCAGATCTCTGATTTCAAGGCCAGCCTGGTCTACAGAGCAAATTCCAGGACAGGTGGGGCTATTCAGAGAAACCATGTCTAAAACAAACAAACAGATGAAAAGAAAACAAAAAAATGAAGATACTTAGTGTTAACTTCTGGCCTCATATACATGAATCCCACTTCTGTGCACTTGCATGCACACTTGTGCACATACACTTACATGTGTGAGTATGTGCACACACACATACAAATCTCAATGGGGAGTCAATATGCTTATAGTTACAAATTAAATGTTACAGTATTGTTGTTGAAGATGTCTAGATATTCTAAAATGTTCATATGGTAAAGGTTTGGAACCCAGATAGTGAATCTAAGCATTAGCAGGCAATTGGGTCATTAGAGCTCTGACTTAGTCCGTGGATTAAATATACTGTGTGTCCATAATTCAATGCCATTATCCATGATAGAAATGTCACCAGTGGTGTCTAGCTAGAGGAACAGTTATTTGAGTCATGCCTTAGAAAGGAATATCTTTCCCCAAGCTGATGAATAACAAAACAAAAAAACCTTTTGGGTTTTGTTTTCTTTTGTTTCTCTTTCCTCTTCCTGGCAGTCATGAGGGTGAGCACCTGTGCTCTGCCTCCCACTACCCCTTCCAGTATGATGCTTCTTGCTTTGAGTCCACAGACTGAAACCACTGAAACTGTGAGCCAGATTAAACCACCACTTTAACTATTTTTCTCAGGTATTTGTCATAGAGATTAAATGTCTGACAAGAGAATGTCCTAAAGAAGGCAGCCTTAAGATGGGTCTCTGGTGTCCTCCAATTCCATGGAGCTTTGCTCTTCAACCCTATGGACATTTGAAACATTAAAAAGTCGGGGCAGGGAGATGGAGCGTGCATAAAAGCACTGATGGGGGAGCGTGAGGGTCTGAGTTCAAATCCCCAGACATCCAGCTGGCACTCACACACACTGAAGAGTGTAAGGCAAAGTTCTGTGTGAATAAAAAGTCTATTATTTACCCCTCCTCCACTCTATCCTCTATTAAATCAAGATAGTCTTTTATTTGCAGAATAACAATTTGCCTATGTCTCTCTACCCGCTTAGTTTGAATCTATAACCCTAATTTGAACATTAAGTGTCATTCCACTTTATGGACTTCAATTATTTCTTCTAGAAGGATGTGGTGTGACACCGTTTCTGGAGTAGCATGAACAAATATTCACTGACCCCAGATAGGGAAGGGAGGACAGGACAAAGTAAGGATAACTTTAGGGACTTTCTGAAGCTATTGAGTTACTTCCTGAGCTCAAAGACCTTCCTGCCTGATGGAGTATTTGACCTCCCT